GATTTTTTACTATATTTATATATAAATGAGAAAGTAAAATAAAGTGATTATAGAGAAATATGACTATAAATAAATGTGACTATAGATATATTTAATTGTAATTACTATTACTATTTTGAAATATTTTTATACACAAAAGCTTAAAATAATAAGAATATTAAAAATTATTACTTTATTAATAAATAATTTTTATTTTTATACTAAAATAAGATTTTTTTATTATATTTATATAGAAAAGCAAAATAGAGTAACTATAAAAGAGTGTGACTATAAATAGATATAACTATAAAGAAATTTGACTATATATTTTTTTTAATTTTCTAGAATTTTAAATATAAAAAATTTTTTTTAATATTTATTTAATGTATAATATTTAAAATTATCAAATATTTGTATTTTATAAAATGTATAAATATCTTTACTAAAAAGTAAATACAAAATTTAATCTATAAATATATTCAAAAAGAGTTTATTCTATTATATTTACAGATTAAATTTTGTATTTACTTCTTTGTAAAAAAGTTTATATATTTTATAAAATATAAATATTTGATAACTTTAAATATTATACATTATAAATAAATAAAAAAATTCTAGAAATCAAAGAAAAATATATTAAAAATATAAATTATTATCTTTATTTTTAGTATAAAAATAAAAAATATTTATTAATAAAATAATAATTTTAATATAAAGAAACAATATTAATTTTATTATTTTTTTAATATATTATGGAGTATATAAGACAAAAATTTTAATTGTTATTATATTTTATTAATAAAATTATATTTATAATTTTATAATTTTGTTAGTTATTATAAATTAATCTGTATAAAGATTTTGAATACTAAAAAAATACAGAATTTTCTCTTTATAAAATTTTTAAATATATTTGAGAATTTTCAATTTATTTTGCAACTAAAAATAAATTCTAAAACTAATAATATAATTTAAAAATATAGTTAAAATTAATTTAAATTATATCTTTATTTTAATATAAAAAATAAATTTTGTATCTTTATAAGTTTTATATTTGTAATATTATTTGGCTAAATTATTATATCTAATAAAAAATTTATATATTTTTAAAAAAAATTCAAAATCATATTTTAATTATTTTATAAAAGTTTATGATTATTTTTTATGTGAAATTTGCTATTTATATTTAATTATTAAGCTTAATTAAAAATAAAATAGTATTATATTTAGAAAAGTGTTATTTATCAGATAATTTTCATTAATTAAAGAAATACTATATCTATTTTCTTTATAATTTTAATTAATTAAATAGATCTATAATTATATTTGATAATTAATAAATACTTTTTTTATCTTTTTCTTTTTTCAAAATCATTTAATAAATGATTATTTCCTTATAATAAAAAATTATTATTTTATAATTTATGACAAATTATAAAAATTATAAAAATTATGTGAATAATACATTAATTAAAATATTTTCTTGATTATTTTTATATTATTATCATATAAATAATTATTTATCTATATTTTTTATTTAGTTTTCTATTTTTTTACTTTTCAATATTTTATTTTTATATATTTCTATTTATATTTGTTAGCTAATTTCATATTAGTGAAAACATGTAATAATATTGATATTTGATCTTATAAAATATGAATTGAATTTATCTTTACTATGATTAAGAATATTAATTGATTAATTAATTATGTAATTAAAAAAATTCACATTTTCTTTCAAAAATTGAATGAATAATACTTTTTCCAAATGCAAAACATCTTGATTTCAGTCAATGAAGCTTGCTCAATATTAAGATGCAGCATTCATGTTAAATAGATAATAAATGTTTATTGATTAATTTTTCTTCGATGTGTTATTTAATTATAACTTTAAAATTGATGATTTGCAATTCAATCCTGATGGAAATATCTTTATTATTTAAGATTTGATTATCCTCCATGTGAGACATCATCCTTTTATTTCAATTATACAATGGAAAACAAGTGTATAATTTAATCGTGAATTCGCGCTATTTGTTTTGCATTATAAATATATACCGGTCATTATGATGACGTTACTTCTATTACATGTTCTCCTAATAATAAATAAGTCGTTGATTTATTGTTTATCCGATTAATAAATAAGTCATTGATTTATTGTTTTTGATAACTTCAGAGGGCATGACCGCGAATTCTTTCACTTAATCATATTGAGGGATTCATACCAATAACATATTGTTCAAAAGACAGGAAATATGTAATTTGACCAAATTCAATTAATTCACCAATTACACCATAAGCAAAGATGGCTCATTATTTATCTGAGAATTTAAAGGTGATGATGATATGGACATTAATAAAGAACAAGATAATTTAATTAAAAAAAAAAACTGAAAAAGAAACGCTGGCTTATTATTCAAAGATATTACTTTAATCAGGGTGGTACAAAAGTTGTTATCACTTAGAGTCGAAACTTTTAGTGGTTGAATTTTCATCTGTAATTTTGAAGTTGCCAGAATTTAATATACATACATTGAGGTAAATAATTAAATTCCTTAAACAATATAATTGTTCCGATTCATTATTATTTTGATTCGTAGTACTTCACAGAAAAGAGCAATAAATCCAACGGGTGAATGGCTTGCATTTTTGTTCTTCAATGGGGATGGCAATCAGAATCATACGTTCTTAAATAACAAGGCTACTTTTATGACATTAATGCATAACGATAATGATAATTATAATCTGTGCTCGGTTCGCGATCACATGATAACAAACCAATAAGGGTGCACAGATCATATGTGTGCCAACATTTATTAAAGGTTGAATTTATCGTTTGGATTAGGGTAAGGGTTAGAGTGGAGAACAAAGTTATATGTAAAATTTCCTCTGACATTTTTCTGGGCTGATCAAAAATTTGCGCACAGGTTATAATTACGCGACATGAATACCATTGCATGTCCCAATAAAATCATGATTTTATTGGAAACTTTAATATTACGAATAATGTAATCAAATCTGTATATAACAATGCTTTTGCTTTAGACAAAAAATAGAGCTTTGTCGTTAATCTTACTGTAAATCGCGGTTTATAGTACTCGGGTACTATTAAAGTTAGTCTGTGATTTTTTGAATAAGACCGGGGGTACTGTAGTAAGCGCTATACGATATATACCGGATTTTGTTTTGTATCACATCACCATAATCATGATGGCTGGACGGATTAATTTCTTTGAACATAGCGCCCAAGCACACGAAATTGGGGGAGTATCGTAAAGATATCTATCTCAGGTAGTTATCCTAACCATGTCGAAAAAATTTTTTGGTCACGTGGCAACCAATATGAATGCGTAAATTTTTGATCTGTTGGAGAATTTTTCCGGACATACATAACTATCACGTGATCCGATAATTTTTTTGCCGTGGCTAGGTGATATTGTGTATTTCCGGAAAAATTTTACGGTAATATAGGTTATTGTTAAAGGTTAATTTAAAGGTTAGGATTAGGGTTAGGGTTAGAGCTGAATGTTCCGAACGGTTCGGTAAAAACCGTCACCGACGGGTCGGTTTTACCGATCCCATCAAGATTATTCGAACCGAATGGATCGAATAATTACTGATTGATCAAATAATCGAATGTGATATATAGCGAAATTTTAGCGTTATATAGTCATTATTATCTACATGGTATACATTTGGCTTAGCCAATTCTTTTTCTATATTTACTTTATTTTTTTACTGTATGGTATATTTACAATGTTCGATTTCGTTACGGAATCAAAAAATCTCGAAACCGTTACTGGTTATTTCAGTTAGATAATGGTTTGTAAAAAAAAACCGAACAGAACCGAACGAATCCTAGTACTGCAACTGTCTCTATCTCTACGCAAGATGCAATTTCAAGTCCGAGTATAAGTTTTCGGACTATGGTGCAGGAACTCTTAAATCGACAATATGTTTCAATTTTAAAATACTACTACTCAACATAGAGGCAAAATTTTCAGAATTTGACCGGCAACTTTGTTCTTTATAATAAGTTCTACAAAGTTACCGGTCAGATTCTGAAAATTTTGCCTCTATGTTGAGTAGTAACATTTTAAAATTGAAACATATTGTCGATTTAAGAGTTCCTTCACCATACAAATAGTTATTTAAAATGTTAATAATCTTTTAGTAAAAAAATCACTCCCTAAAAATTTTTATTAATAGAACCATTATAAAGAATGCAAATATAAACAATAATTATATATATTTCAACCAATAGTTCTTGGCACTTCTTGTTGTTTAAACATCGAGTACCTTAGTAGTTATGAAACTAGATGTCCAGGTATACCACAAAGATACACATTCGCTCATTAATTACGTATTATGAATATATTAGTAATAATGTATATATCCTTCCTTTCACTCATATAATAACGATAACAGCCATAGTGATTTGTCTACGTAAAAATAATTGGTGTATGATAGAAACCTAACGCTAATGATAGTTACGTATTTGATGAAGAACGAGTACCTTTGCGGTTATGCGTTCAACAATTGGTGTTACTTGTAGTTATTAATGTGAAAGGTATATAAAACACAGAATAACGATAAAAAAGGGAACATTGGGATATCGTATAAATCAAAATCAAATAGTTCCCGTTAACTACATACATAACCCTAAAAATTATACTCCGCCGTTTGTGCACATTCAAGAAATACGAATTCAACGTCTGGGTTTTTTTATTATATTAGAATACGATCGAAAAACAGACAACATTATAAAAAGATACTACAAAAAAATTTATCGCCACATCTTCAATCTTCATTGATTGATCGAATTAATCAACTCGTTATTAATCAACTCGTTAACGTTAATCAATCAACTTTTTGCCTTCGTCCCGAAAATTGTCAACATTAATATATTAAATTAAGCTTTTCTCCCAACACCATTAAACAAAATCATAATCAAACAATTTTTATAAGTATTGTTTACTTCTTTAATATATACTATCGCTGTTATCATTTTCTAACATATAATGTCATCGTTAAGGATTAAATTTTATTTCGTTGCAATAATAACCATCGCGTTGCTATTGCATTACGCGTTTCCAAAAGTTTTGGCACAACAAGCTGAAACTGGTATGTCAAAATAACATGAACTCTATTTTCTTTCTCGAATTTTATCTCAAGTACTCTATTATCTTGTCAAATACAGATTCACCCACTGACAGCAATAATAGTAATAACGACACAGAATGCGGCGGAGGAACAATCTCTAATTCCGAATACGATTTCGGTCTTCATCTCGGCGCGCTGTTTATTATTCTTGTTACTAGTTCTTTTGGAGCGTTTATTCCAGTATTGTCGAAAAGATATACCGCTTTACAAATACCGAGTATAGCATTTAAGGGTACGTATGTTTAAGCTTTTTTTGCTCTTGGGTGTATTTTATTTCAACTTAATCGCATTCTTTTATTATTGTTCTGAAAGTTGCCAAAAATTTTGGTACCGGAGTTATTCTTGCAACCGCATTTATTCATGTGAGCAAAGGAAATTTTTATTGTGCTAATAACACAATTTAATGATATTAATTAAAAATACCAATTATATTAATAGATGCTACCTTCTGCTTTCGCAAATCTTACTAATCCGTGTCTGCCAAGTCTATGGAATACCTACCCGGCCTTCGCAGGAGCGATAGCAATGGGATCCGCGTTAATGATATTTTTCATTGAATATCTTACGATTAAAGTAACCGAAGAATACGAAGAAAAATTTTTATCGGAGGCAAATTCACCCGATAACGCCACTCATAATAACAGCAATATCAACCACGAAGTAGCTGTCGACATTGGTGAAAGAGAAGAAAAAAAACTAGAAAGCCACAAATCTCATCTTCCGCATAACCATAGACACATGTTGATATTAGACAATCGTACTCGAACGGTTGGTCTCGTTGTTCTAGAAGCAGGAATATGTTTTCACTCCGTAATTATCGGAATGACATTAAGCGTAACCACTGGCTCAGATTTCATCTCGCTTCTATGTGCACTTATATTCCATCAAATGTTTGAGGGGCTTGGACTTGGGTCTCGTATCGCGGAACTTTCTTTCCCGCGTGAAAGTCTTCGTCCATGGCTAATGTCCTTAGCGTATGGCATAACCACACCATTTGGAATTGCTATTGGTCTCGCCACACGATACTCTTATAACCCGGAATCACAGACCGCGTTAATTGTCCAAGGTGTACTAGACGCCATTTCTGCCGGAATTCTGTTATACGCGTCAATGGTCGAGCTACTCGCAGCCGATTTCATCATTGATAGTCGTATAAGAAAGTCGAAAGCTTCGGATCAGATTTTTGCTTTTTCGCTCCTGATATTGGGCGCTGTTATTATGGCGCTGATCGGTATGTTTTGTTTCTTTTGAGAAATTTCCATTTGCTTGAATTGCTAATAACCATTTTATACAAATATAGGACGTTGGGCATAACAATTTTTCTTTGTTCCATTATATATATATATATATACCTTTCACATACTATAAATAACCTTTATACATTATTTATAAGCTAATATTCACTCTTTTGCTTGTTATTTTAACGAAAATACCAAACAACATACAAAGAAAATTTTATTGAAAAAATTAAATTAGTTTCGGCGAAATTTTATAAGTGTAAAAGGATAAAAAATTGCAAGGCATTTCATTTGAGTTATACAATCTTGTTTTCATTTCACATTGTCAAATAAATTTTGGTTGGGCACGCGACTTCACACACATATCAGCAAATGGCATTAATAGTTAGAATAATTAAAATCGGGAGTACCTTAGCGGTTGTGCGTTGTACTCGCCGATTTGGAAATAGAAAATCTACTTTGATACCTTTTCGTTTAGGCCCACACAGATTTTTTATTGATGATGGTAGTGATGATATATTAAAAAAGGTGATGATTTTATAAAAAGTTGTCACAAATCCCTAATTTAATAACCTATAAGGTACTCTTACGCTCAAGATCCAATTTTTTGCGATTATCTTTAATAAAAAACGTCATTATACATTATCTAACGATCTCGTACCATATTATAAATTAATCAACCGGTTATTATCACAAAAACTGGATTAGGTATCAAAAATTTATTCTATGGAAAGGTGTGAAACTTATCGTTATGCAAGTTTCATAGGGTATATATTACAAAATAACAAATATCTAATTTCATATCCCCCATACAAAGAAAGGGTTTAAACAAATACGCGTTTATTATATATCAAATCTAGTTACACGGGAATCGCATAATAACCGAATTCGTTAAATATTTGGGGTTTGATAAAGATGCTTGTGTGCACATGGCGTCAAAAGGCAGTATTTAGTACAATGTAGGACACTTAAATATGCCAATCACGTGACTTGTCCCTTTGGTCCCAAAATCAAACAGAATTTAAATGAATCAAAAAATCGATTCTGTTCACTTGCCAAAAAACCACGTGATTATCATAAGCACATGTTGGTTTAATTATGAATAATTTGAAACTGGGATTTATTACAAGACTTGTTTTTAGTGCTATATTAAATCTCTTCTAATTAACTTTTGGCACATCTAAGTCATGATCATTGAATGTGTAACCTGTGAATGCAATATCAGGTGATTAGTACATTTACACGTGATTCGTCGCACTGGCTCGGAAAAGGTCATGTGATTAGCACTGTCCGTAAACAAGGGCCACGTTATTTGTCCCACTGGCCAAAAATGCGTGCTTATTTTTTAAAAAAGTGGCTGTTACTTTGTAGCTAAGCCATTTTACTACAAGATAACGGCCTCCTTTTTCTTGTACGATCTTTGTATGGTGATCCTTTACCCTCTAAAGACGGCTAGTTTTATTGGTGTCTTCAAGTGTCACACTGATTTCAAAATCGAAAGAGTACCTCAACAGTTATGCAGTTGTTTAATGGTGATCATAACGGTACTCGTTTTTACACGATTTGTCACGCAAATCAGGGGGAGAAAAATTGAACATATAATGTCGATCAATTTTTGAATTTTTCGTCTAAAGTCTCAGCCAAAGCACTCAAAGAGCCTTTAAATAAAGTTGTTGCCTGTGTCTCCACGAACAAAATGATATATAGAATGTGGAAAAATAACATCTCCTTATAGAATAATACACCTTCAAAATTGGTGTCCATATTCTCCAGTTCGCAAAATCTTGACATGGAAAGTAATTCATCAGATATGTTCAAGTAAGAGCTTTCTGCGAACTACTATCTTGAGGGAATGGTATATATTAAACAAGACAAAGAAATCAAGAAAAACTGGTTTTTTACTATATAAATCACTCTGAATTTTATTGGTTACACAATGTGTTGTACAAATCAAATGAAGTAATTTACATAGTAAAAAACTAGTTTTCTTTGCCTTGTTTATAATATACCATCCCTTCAAGATAATAGTTCGCAGAAAGCTCTCACTTGGACATATCTAATAAATTACTTTTATGCCAAGATTTTGCGAACTGGAAAATAATCTAATGAAAGAAAACAAAATAAATATTAATTTTGAAGATATATTATTTTATAGTGAGATATTAGTTTTTTCACATTCTATATATTATTTTGTTTATAGAAATACAGATAATAACTTTATTTAAAAACTTTTTGAGTGCTTTATTGAGACTTTAGATAAAAAATTCAAAAATGCAATTACATTAATTTTTAAATTGATCAATATTATATGTTCAATTTTTATATATAACAAATCATGTGATTAATATTGTTTAAAGTGCTTTTTGAAAATACAATATTTCATTAAATAAAAATATAGATTTTGATTATTTTTTACTTTGTAAGAATATTAGTATTTAATGTTCAAAATAATCAAAAAATAATCAAAAATCTTAGAATATTTTACTTGAAAGTAAAAATATTACTGTCAAATATTACTAGATTGTATATTATTATTATTTGTCAAGAGAAATTAATTTAATAGAGAAAGATAACTGAAAATATTTTTTCTAGAGATCAAGCTAACAATATGCTATCAAGTTATATTAAAATAAATAATATAATTTGTATGAATTATTACAATAAAATTGTAATTAACAGTTCTATTAAATTCTAATAATACAGATTTGAGAAAACTAAAGAAACTAATAAAGTTGAAAATATCAATAAATTTTTTTCTTTTTTTAAAATAATAGAGATAATAACAAAAATTTTGTATAATTATAAAAAAAATTAATAATATATTCTTTTAATAAATTTCAGATAATTATAAAAGAAAAAAATACAAAATTAAAATCTTTCTTTGATAAGTTATATTTTTTATTTAATTTATTTTTCAAAAAATATAGATTTGCAAGTACAGATAAAAAAGCAACTTCTATTTTTTCTATAAAATTCAGGATAAGTTTGTAAATAATACAAAAAGAGATTTAATATATCTGAATTCTACTAGTATTTCTGACACTTTTATAAATACACTTTCTGATTTAGATATAAGGATGCTTGCCTAAATTCTTTCAGAAAAATATCGTCATAATTTCGACGGGTTACACACTAATTGTTAATTAGAATTTCGACATAATTTCGGTTACGACGGGTTTCAAAATTCGTCAGAATTTTGACGGGTTATTTACTAATAGTTTATTATAATTTCGACAGAATTTAGACAGTCACTAAGGGATTTCGGCAAGCAACCTTATTTAGATATAATGATAATTTCTTATATAATTACTTTTTTGAATACATAAAGAAAGTGATAATATTAAATATTATATATTTAACAATAATTTTGATAAATTTAATTATAATATAATATATAATTCTAAAGATAAATATTCATAATTCTATATTGATTAATACTAAATTAATTAAAATAAATATAAAAAATATTTTCAAAAAACTTTATATAATTAATGTTGAAAGTTTCATATAATTAATAATAATATAAAATTAGAAAAATTAATTATCCATAATTATAATACTAGATTGAAAGAGAAACAAAATACCTATTTAATAAATAATATTATTTTTACAAATTTACAAAAAAATAATTTTTATCTTTGAATACATATCTTAAAGCTATTAATACTATTTTGAATATTTTATTTATATAATAATACATTCAGAAAGAATTCAAAAAGAATATATCATTTCCATTATTATTGATTAATCTGAACAAATTTATATTAAAAAACAATTTTATATTATTTAATTTATTATAATTCACTAAATATTATTAATATAATATTATTTTTTTTATTTTAAATTCTTTTCATATTGTCACTATTGTGACATGTTATATATTATTTAGCTATTTGTTGATATATTTATGCAAAAGATCAGTTAGTAAGCATAGCATCATTACCAAGAGGAGCTCAACATTTATCTATAATAATAATATTTTTCTCACATGATAATAGTATTTAACAAAGAACAATGATTATTAAAAATTTAATTGGTTTTTTTATTAAGATAATTTAATTGGTTCTTTATTATAAATTAGATTTATGTCATAATACATGCTTAATATAGCTCATTTTATTAAGATTTAGTATGTGTTCTATTTCTATATTTTAATTAGTTCTTCTCATGTATTTAATTTTCTTTGTATTATATTGATATTACCTTGTGCTATATTAAGTTTATTTCATGTTTAATTAATTTTATTATATAATAGCAAAGAAGTACCAATAGTA